CCCCCCCCCCCCCCCCCCGAGAATCGCCCCCAGGCGACCTGAGGTGTTTCTCTGGGTGGTTCCTGAAGAAGGAAGTGATGAGGCTGGGGTCCAAAAAAAAAAAAAACGATTGAGGGATCCAAGACCTTTTCTCTTGGCCATACCCCTCCCAATCGACGAGGTACTAGAAACCTCTACCTCTGTGTCGCACATCCAGGATGGAGGAGCCACTCCTGACATCTGCTACAACTGTGGAAGACCAGGCCATTGGGCCAGAGATTGCCCAGCTCCACCACAAGGACAAGCACCACCCAGTGGACCACCAGGTATGCTGCCACACAAACCAACAGCAATACCCACTCTGACCACAGGAGGGCAGTATTTGCAGTGGGAAGACTTTCCCACTCCTGGTACTTACTGACACATCCATGAGAACCAACAAGGTAGCATGGGCACAGCAGACCCTATGCTACCGGCGAGAGTGGGAGGACAAGAAATTAACTTCTTGGTGGACACAGGAGCCACCTACTCTACAATCACCACAGCTTCTGTCAACTACCTATCCACAAAGACTGTGCCATTAATGGGGTTCTCAGGAACAGAGCAACATTGGCCCTTGACTGTACCACTGCCATTTCAGATAGGAACACAAAAATTGCAACATCCATATGTCTTTTCACCTGCAACACCATTCAACTTGATGGGAAGAGACTTACTGATAAAGTTGGGGGCAACTGTACTCTGTGGGGCACAAGGGGTGAGAGTTCAATTCCCAGATGGCTCCTATTTCCAATGTGGTGAACTGTGCACAGATGGACAGTACTTGATGCAACCAGTGGCTCCTGAACATGCTGATATCTACTGGGGCTGCATGACTGTTGAAGGGTCTAGTCCACTGCTGAATCTGTTCCAACAATGGAAGCCTTGGATCCTGAGTCTACGCGCCTGTGTCTCTCCTCCCGACCCCCCATGTCACACTCTTCTATGACAGGAGCCATGCAGACTGGTATCAAGAGGAGTTTACAGCTCAATTGGAGGGTAAGATTTGGACAATTCACACACAAAACATTTATGTGGCACCGGCTGGGGTGGCAGCGGCGGTGGAGTTAACTCATGAACAATTACTGTGGTATCAAATGAGTGATGAAGCCGTGCCTCACATATTTCTCTCTCTCTTCATGTCGAGCACGAAGCAAAGGAGCTGGGAGGAATGGTTAAACGTTCCCTGGCAGCTAAGGATTGGGTTCCCACCTCAGTACCAGGTCTGTGCTTTTCAAATTCTTGTGACAAATACAGAATCTCCTCTCACACAGAAGAACAGGTAATGCTGGAACATGAGTTGTTGGCTCGTGACCACGGGAGTGTGAAGACTGATCATCATTCTGCTGCAGCAATGTTGGCCTCCATACCTGAAGGCTTATGGGCCATCTCCCCCACGGAGGTGGGGAAGACACAGTGCAGCCCAATCACATTACAGGTAAACACAGATACACCCATTTGGGTCCCACAATACTCACATAAACAACAAGCAGAAGAAGGAATTGCAGACTGCAGGAGTTTTAGAACCCTTGCAGTCTGAGTGGAACACACCCATCTTGCCTGTAGAGAAAAAAAGGAACCGGTAAATATCGAATGGCACATGATCTAGGAGCCATTAATGCAATATTAAAAACACCCACAGTACCAGATACAAATCCTCATGTCTCTATCTCATCTCTGGACCCTACTCACCACTGGTATAAAACTGCAGAGATTTATTCTCATTTACATATAAAGAACAACAGTGGCATTACACACGACTCCCCCAGGGTTTTGCTCTATATCCAGGTATTTTCAATCAGGTTTTGAAAGATGTCTTGCAGTCTTGTCCTCTTCCTAAAGATACAACACTGATCCAGTATGTGGGCAACCTGTTACTAGCCACGCCCACACCGGACACCTGCATAGAAGCAACTAGGTTGGTGTTGGAAAATCTACACAAAAATGGCTTTAAGTTTAGTAAAAAAATAAATTACAGATTGTCAGAAAACAGGTCTCCTTCCTGGGACCACTCTCTGCAATCTCTGCAGGAACCACTAGCATGTCCAAAACTCATAAATAGAGTATCTTGACACACCCCAAACCGACACGTGTAAAAGACATGCTTTCCTTTTTGGGCCTAACAGGGTACAACAGAGGGTATATTCCTGAACACACAGATTTGACACAACCCCTGAGGGATTTGGTCAAACAGCAAGGCATGAGAAACTTGAACAACATTCTAATATGGACACGATAAGCTGAAGAAGTCTCCATAAAACTCGAACAACACATGTCATCTGCAGCAGAACTGACATTACCTGATTACAACAAACCCTTCTTTTTAGATGTTTCTGTAACAAAACTAGCCATTAATGGGGATTTATTTCAGAAAAAAGGGGGTGAAAGAAAAGTACTACAGTACTTATCAACAATGATGGATAATATGGAAAAACGGCACCCCCCATGCACACAACACGCAGCAGGGATTGTAAAATTTATTCAAAAACAGCACACATTGTTATGGGACACGCCCTAGTGGTATTAACCACACACAGTGTAGTGGCATATGTAAATTCTCAATGCTTTACTATGACCACTTTAAGACAACACAGGTTATCTAAAATGCTAGAAGCCCCCAACATCACATTCACACATGAAGGAATAAACATGGTACTGCATCTCTGAAGGAGAACCGCACCAGTGTAAAAAGCTTGTGACCACGCTGGAAAAAGTAAGACCGGACCTGCAAGCTGACTAACTAATTTTTCTCTAAAATTTAAGCTTCGTCCAGTGGATTTAAATGCCTGTATATAAATTGTTGTTTGTTTGTCGATGACATGCGAAGGATCCAACGTGGCTGAAGGTTTAAAGCCCCATGTAAAAATTGTGATGTCATTTTTGCTGACGTTAAAATCTTTACAAGAACCGTGCTCAGTCCGAAAGATGTTCCGGGTGTAATTGCTCATTGTTGTTTAATAGAAACACGTTAAAACTTGGACGTCTGGAAAGCGTCAAGAGGTGTGGTCATGTGACAGTTCGAAGAAAACTCTACTGGGTTTTTGGGTGCCTGTGGGGAGTTTTTTGCTAAATTCCTCGAAAGAAGTTGATGACCTTGGGTTTCTGTTTATTATAGCCTCCTTAGGTCTGTAGTTGAAAACAGACTGGTCAGCAATACGTACATCCCCGAGCAACATTTTTATTTTTTCTCTTGTGCTCGAGGCTGTGCTCCTGAAACGGCAGAATCCTTAAAACAAACACCTATATTTGGATGATTCCTAGAAAGAATCTAGAAGAAGAATACCTGCAGATGACCATATGGAGCTGTTATGGTTAAAGACAGGGATTGATAGCTTTTTAGAATAGGTAGTGATGGAAAAGTGTTTTTATAAGTTGAGGGACAAACAAGAACCTTAGTTAGGAAGGTATAAGGAAATATAACATCATAAGATTCAACTGGTCTGTTGGCCTCCTTAGATAGAGAACTTTACTAATTGGCTTTTAGGTATGTGAATGTTTCTGTAAAGTCTAAAAAAGTTAAATCTGGTCCTCTGGACATTCAAAAAAACAAAACAAAGCAAAAAAATCTAGAAACGTTTCGTCTCTCATC